CCTAAATTTAGTCACTTGCCATTGGCCAGACAGGAAGTCTGTTGCTGAGTCAGAAATTGAACCAAAGTCTCCCAAATCGCAGCCCAATGTCCTGTCCACTAAGCCACCTTTCCTAGCCTTACAGAGAACAGATCAAAGTTCAGACACTTACTACTTGACTTTGCTGTTCTATAGGCAGCTCACTTCCTCGCATGCCTGAGCATTAGTTAGTTTTTCAGCATATACAGCAATAGGCATCTCTCATACAGCAACGTCAAACTCTACATCCCGGCCCAATTTCAGACAGGTCCGTTTCGGTGTAAGCATTCTCCCTTCACCACAGAGAGACAGAACGAGCAGGAGTGATGAAAAGGCACATTGGCTGCAACGTTCAGTATGGCCAGAGAGAAGGATGGTATTTAAGGGTGTCTGGAGTGAGCAGACAATTTGCTCCCAGCTCGTTTTTAGGGCCTGATTCCCCCCTGCTTTACACTAGTTTTACTCCTGATAAATCCATAAAGCCACTGATTTTAGTAACATCCCTCTGCTGGCAGAGACTGGCCTGATGAAGAAAAGAATCAGGCCTGCAGGGCCAGATTCACAAAGGGACTTAGGCACCTAACTGCCTCTTTAACTGCCGCTGACGTTCTCAGTATCACCACTCAGCTGTTGCCTAACCCTGTGGGCAGGCACAGAGCCACTAAGTCCTGATGCCACCGCACAGCCAAGCAGCTTGGAGCCCTCACTCATGTAGGCATCTCCCCTACCTCTCTTCCCATCAGGGCCCAATCCTGGAGGTGTTCTCGGAGCACACAGACAGGATCAGGCCCCGTACAAAAGATAGCCCAGGGCAAGCAGGTTGAGAATTGTGTGCCTAGCTGTCCCTGGAATAGCCAATAGCCCAGCAGTCAGAGCACTCACCAGGGATGTAGGGAACCCAATTTCAAATCCCTAAGTACCTTTGTGAATCTAAACCTTAGTCTCCAGGTTCAGTTCAGCTCTGGTGTAGGTGGGCACAATACCTCTTGGATTCCATGGGAATTGTGCTTGCTTATGCAAGAGCTGAATTTGGTCCTCAGTTTCCTCAGAATCATCATTCTTTCTCTCTTGGAACTACTAACCAGGTTTTTGCTTAGTTGTGGTCTTTGGAACATAAATATTACACTAATCGTCCCAGCAGTGACAAGCACTTGTTTACCGCTATATATCTGGTGAGCTCTCTCTACTCTTTTGCTCTGAATGAATCCAATAAATTCAAGGTGGAGAGGCACTTTTTGCCAAGTTAGATGCCAACAAAGATGAAGCAATGAAAGATCCCTGTAAAAACAAGATCGTTGTGTCACAGCTTTGCTCCCAACAAGATATTTTATGTTGGTGTGAGGTTAAAGCCAGATTTATTTCTGTGTCACAAACGGTAAAAGAAAACGAGGAAAGAGCAAAGCACGGACTGAGCAACAAACTCTTTCATGTGCTTTTGATTAAAAAAAAAAAAAAAAAAAGGATGCATCTAATGGGAGTCTGTTTGGCTTAAGGAATTGTAAATGGACTATTGCACCTTGCACAGCTAAGTCACCAGCACAAACCCAGGCCATGTTGGGAGTGAGAGCTGGCATCAACCAAGTACCATCTCGTGTTTTGCGGTGGTGATCTCAGAAATGTTTTGGAGGCCAGATTTCTAAGCCTTTGGAACAATCTCCCAAAAGAAAGGGTAGAAATCCCATCTGTGGAGACCTTTAAAGAGACAACAGTAGAAAATATAGTTCAGGGAACACCTCTCAACCAATGCAAGACTGGACTAGGTGACTGTCAGCATGTTGTGTGCATGCAAACACCCACACCCACACCCAGCATTACTGCAAAGTAAATCTGGCCGCTTGGCGCAACAGCAAAGCAAGAGTCTACCTCCTGCCCTGCTAGAGTACTTCGATCCTGACCAAAAAACACCACCTCTGTCTAGGAGAATGTAATACAGGAGTTAGAATAAGGGACCTGCTTTTTATCTTCCAGCTCTAGCTCTGATCCTCATAACTGGCCGTCAGCCTCTCTCTGCCACACTCATTCATACTCCATCACATCAACTCTCAGTCCTGGCTGCTTCCCCTCTCCTCCTTCCCACCAGCCTTTAACACTCTGTCACAATCCAGAGCTCACCTCAGCATAATGGTGGGGGAATGAGCAGCAACATGGACACTGGGCCCCAGTTTGGGTCAATAGCTGTCTGCGTATGGCGATGGTGCAGCAGAGCTGCCTGTAGGCTCCATGTCTCTGACTCTAGGGGTTGGGAAAGGGGGCATTGAAATAGTGCAGCAGATGGCCAGATGGCCTCATTCTGACATGTCTTTATTCCTAGCTAAATCAGCAATTTCTATATAGCAATTATCCATGCATGATTTCTACATAAGAAATTCTCAATGACATTTCACTTGGAATGATTATCAAGGCACATGTTTCTAGGAAGCCTGAGAAGTCAGATTCAAAACTGGTTCGACTGCAATAGAGCACAGCTGTCTTGTGCATGAGAAGCTAGAGCAGCAAATGACTGTGTTCATGTGAATCTGGGATTTGGCACAAAATTAATCAAGGGGAACCATTTATTCAAAGGGATTAACAAGAAAATGGTGTTTAAAAAAGAATAGCTATCTTGTAACTGGGATAATCGATTATGAGTGACGCCATTAAGAATTTATGGAGCCAAATTCAGACCTGGAATCAGCAGGTGCAGTTCCAAGGCCATCAGTGCAGTGAGGCTGAATTACACTCTCTCTGATTTGGTCTTAATATAAATGGCAGTCCTAGAAGACCACTAAAAGAATAGGGAGAGCAGACGTTAACAGATGGGAGAAGACTGGCACAAACACTGTGCAGGCCAAAGACAAGGCGGCCCAAATCCAGATTCCAAATGCAAACACCACTGAATTTGGGAAGTGTTTGGATCCAGATCTGAACCAGTCTTCTAGGTCAGGGGTCTCAAAGTCCCGGCCCGCAGGCCATCTGCGGCCCAAGAACCTCCGCACTGCGGTAGGGCCGGCTCCAGCTTTTTGCCGCCCCAAGCGGCGAAGCGAAAAAAAAAAAAAGCCGTGATCGGCGGCACCTCAATCGTGCTGCTCCATTCTTCGGCGGCACTTCGGCAGCAGCTCAAAGAGGAAGAGAGGGACTGAGGAACCCGCCGCCGAATTGCCGCCGAAGACCCGGACGTGCCGCCCCTTTCTATTGGCAGGCCTAAGCACCTGCTTCCTTCGCTGGTGCCTGGAGCCGGCCCTGCACTGCGGCCCGCGGAGGAGAGACGCATGCAGCCACACTGCTGGCAATGTCTGCTGCAGGCACCGCCCCCCCCCACAGCTCCCATTGGCTGGGGGAGAGGGACAGAGATACCATCACTAGTCGCCAGGCAGAGTCAGCCATGGAAGCAGCATCACTTTTTTCCACATTGAATATAAATAAGTCAAAATACCAAACACAACTACCTGACGCACACCTTGCTGCAATCCTGAAGGTTTCAACTGCTCGGTCACTGAGCCAAACATCAGCAGCCTGACAGAACTGAAGCGCTGCCAGGTGTCTGGCAAACACTAAAAACTCTCTGGCAGGCGAAGAATTGTATAAAGTCATATGATAGTTTTATTATTTCTAAGAAATTCGAAATAAAAAATACAACATAAACGTTTTCTTTTCTGAACACCTTCTTCAATGACATTATTGGCCCGAGGGGAGGATTTGAGGACTGGCACCGGCCCTAAGGTAAATTGAGTTTGAGACCCCTGTTCTAGGTGTTGCATCCACAATCCAGATTACAAAACTACCCCACCAAAGAAGGTGGGAGGGAGAAGGGACTCCTAAATCGAGACACTGCTCACATCTGAATCCTGGCAATGTAGAGGCAGAGTAAAATAAACTGAATGTAATAAAGTAAATAGCAGAAGGAATAGGCTGCATTATTCACTATTTCATTCAGACCCTCCAGTCTTTAACGTACCTAAAGCTGCTGCAGAGTTTCTCGTCTGCTGCTGAAACCCAGGGCATCCTGTAGAATGAAGGTCTAGCTTGGCATGGAAATCATGTGACCTTGCTCAGACATCTCCGCTGAGCTGGGGACAGGCCCAGCAGCTTCTTGCTATGGAGTTTTGGACCTGGATATTTAGTCAGATCTATCAGGAGTGATCACACCTCTTCCCAATTGGTGGGACCAGTTAGATTAAAACAGCAACAGGTTCCTGTTCCTGTTGGGAATAAAAGTAAACAGTGAAGGCAGGTTTCTAATGCAACAGCTGCTTTTGTGATATAAAGGATGAAAAATAAAATGAATGAATAAAGGTAACAGAGAACTTTACCCTTCCTGCTGCAAACTACTCAATATTTTGTGGGCTGCGCTAATGACATTGTCCAGTCCACTTGCATCCCGCCCCAGCCATCCAATCCCGCACCAAATAAAGTCAACAGGAGTTTTGCCTGCGGCACTGGCTCAAAATGCTGCAGAGTCACTGCTGCAAACTGTATTATTTCCTCTGGACTATCTGCACTATTGTAGAATACTGTAGTATTCAGAAGGGGAAAACTGCAACAAATTTAGTGTTGCCAATTTTGGTTGGACATATTCCTGGAGGTTTCATCACATGTCAATCAGTCTTTAATTAAAGAGTAATCTTTAATTCCTGGAGACTCCAGGACAATCCTGGAGGGTTGGCAACTGTAGCTTCAGGTATGTTATTGATTGGAGGTCTGAATGAACTATTATGAATAACGCTGCCTATTCCTTGCGCTGTTTATTGTGTCATTACATTCAGTTTGTTTTACCGGGCCCCTGCATTTCCAGGAGTATCCCATAATTGTGAGTAATCACAGTGAGGAAGCTGTAGGCACAAATGGTGAACAGCCGGAAAGCAAGTTTCACTTTTGCTTTGGACTTGTATTTTTACTTCCTGATTCCACAAGAGCTGTCCTTGTAACTTGAGCCTTGACTGACACACAATGTGACCACTTAATTCTTAGCAGTGCCATCGGGAAGCCAATACCGGATTAGACAGAAGAGACTCAGCAAAAGTAAAGCAGGATAGCAGCTTCCTCATTTACAATTCTATAACGTGCTTGAAATTTAAAGAGCAACATTTGCTAGTGTGGGACTCCTGCAAACTATGAAGGAGCTTAAAGCAGCAGCACCAGCCAAACAAGACATTTTAAGAGACTATGTTGCATACTATGGCACGAAGTGGTCGGAAGGAAAACTTCTGATCTGCAACGAGACAACGATAAAAGCAAAAGCTAAACACTTCCTGGAGTCTGGTGCCTGTCCTGCTGAGAGATTTAGCAGGTTTAGCTTCTACAGCATTGCAGAGAATTGTTTAAAGATGAAAAAGCAACAAGGAGGCAATGTTTTCAAAAACCTCATCCAAGCTTTCGAGTTCCTGGAGCTGCTCTGCATCAACCTGTTCCTCTCTCCTTGGAGAAAAGAAATAAAGTCGCTGAAGGTAGGATATGAGATGAAAACAGTGGCATAGCAACAGGATCAGAAAGCTATAAATCAAATCCTCAGGGTAGTGCTTTATTCCCAGTGTGCTGCACCTTTAATGAAATTAATGATTTACAGCTTGATCCAAAGTCCCCTGAAGTCAAGGGGGAAATTTCTATTGATTTCAGTGGGCTTTCAATCAGGTCCATTATGCGCAAGTGATAAAATTTTAAGAAGTGCCTAAGGATATGTCTATATTGCAATAAAACATCAGTGGCTGGCCGATGTCAGCTGACTTGGGCATGTGGGCTTGGGCTGTGCAGGGCTATAAAATTACAATTAGACCTTCAGGCTTGAGCTGGAGCCCAAGATCTGGGACCCTCCCTCCTTGGGGAGGTCCCAGAGCCCAGGCTCCAGCCAGATCCCGGATGTCTATGCTATAATTTTATAGCCCCATAGCCTGAGCCCCATGTCCCCAAGTCAGATGACATGGGCCAGCTGCTGGTGTTTTATTGCATGTAGACCTAGGTGACTTAGGGCCAGATTTTCAAAGGTAGTTGTCTAAAGATGCAGCTAGGTGCCTTGTCAGATTTTAAAAAGGACCTGAGCAGGTTATCCTTTTGGGAACCAGGTGCCTAACCGGCACAGGTCCTTTTTAAAATTCAAGTGGGTGCATAGCTGCATCTTTAGGTGACTAAATATCTTTGAAAATATGGTCCTTAGGAGCCCAAGACTTTCAATGAGACTTCAACAAAGTGCCTAAGTCACTTTTGAAAACAAGTTTTAGGTGCGTTTGAAAAATGTTGCTTACGTAGCCTGCCTTGCTAGAGGGGAGCAGCATGCTTTGCACTATACTGGTGAGCAAAAGCGATGTGCAGTCTGTTTATTCTCTTCTTTGTGAATGGACTCTTTGTCCTTTGTACGTCAGCCACATTGCAGTAATGTTCTAACGTAGAAAGCATAAACATTAAAACAAGCTACACGAACATTACAGCTCTTCCTTGGCTACTTTTAATGCAAATTGGGTTCTCTACAGATCAGACAAAATGAAGCAATTTTACATACTTGCATCTAAAGAAGTGAGGTTCTTACCCACGAAAGCTTATGCTCCCAATACTTCTGTTAGTCTTAAAGGTGCCACAGGACCCTCTGTTGCTTTTTACATAATGTCATCATTCTAAAAGTGTGGGTCCCCAGAGCATGAGCTGTGAAATGCCATTTAAACCCTGCATGGCTGCCAGTTTGGATTCATTCTAATGCTCAAATAAATATCACACAAGACAAATCAGTGCACACAGAGGGACGTGGCATGGTGGGTGAGCCAGCCCCACTCCAGAGCTAGGAGGGGGCTGGAGGAAGGATGTGGAGGGGCATCAGCTCTGTGCAGGGCTTGAGCCACAGTTTTCAGCAGTTCTGTGCCCTATACGGGTCTTGCTTACTCTGTTCCTTGCTCATTCCACCTTACTGTGCAGACACTGGGCTGATCCATGGAAGGTGATGATATGGGCAGAGACAAACAGTACCCGAAGAAGTGGGAACTATCAACCACGGAATCCACAGAGATGGCCTGGCCTGACTTTGCTAAGCACGAATCCTTTTAGCACATATTGTTTTCGACTGTCACACCCTTGATTGTGGATTAATTACCCAGCCTATGGACTATGCCCCTCCCCCACAACCTGTTGCTCATCTGTCCATATTGTTCTCCAGGCAAATATATAACATAAACTATCAAAAGGCAGGGGATAAGGAAAAGCTAAACAAACAAAGGGGAAAATAAATGCCACCCTGAGGGAATGGAAACTTTTGATGAGGGACAAGAGAGTCTGAGGAATATGGAGCCTGGAGCAGACTGACATAAAATGAAGACAGAGAGTATCCTCTGCAAGACAGTTGCACAGGAGTTTGCTTGACCAGAGCGACTACTCCAGCTACATAATGCTATGATCTTTGAACAACCTTCCTAAATATTTGTCACAATTTTGAGTCGCCACCTCAGCTCATTGGAGCTCTTTGTTATATCTTTAGACTAGGTTCAGGGGAAATGAGGGAAATCTAGTGTTCTAACACCAAGGAAGCTCCAGAAACAGAGACGCACATATATTCATACGACTCTATTAAATGAACCCAACAATGGCATTATGATTTGTATCAACATAGCCCCTCACAGCCCCAGTAATGGACCAGGAGTCCATTGTGCCAGGCAGCATGCAAAGGCAGAACAAAAAAAACCAGCCCCTTCCCCAAGCACTTTACAATGGGAGTATAAGGCAGGAGACAGGCAGATACAGGTAATGGAAGGGATTATCAAGAATGTTTACTTGTAAGGCTTTAAAGCAAGATTTTCAAAAGTAACTACTGATTTTGGGCCCAACTTGGCACACTTAAAAGAGGCCTGATTTCCAGAAAGGGTTGAGCACCCGGTGATGCTTTCTCAGGGCACCCAGAACTGTAAGCCACTGGGATATCCCTCTGCCTCAGCAAGGGAGCTTTGCTGGAGTTTAACTGTGTCTCAGCTCTCTGCCACACCCGCCTGTCCGCCTCACCAGCAAACACCTCAAGACTCTGCCAGTCTTAACCTTGCCTTGCAGGTAACATTCAGTAAACCCCCTACAAGTTCCTCTGCAGTACCCTGCGCCTATCACTGCAGAGTCTCTGAAATTACCAAACTTTGCTGCCTCCAAAGAGACAGTGCACACACCAACTTGTTTGTTTTGCTGAGGGCTCATGCTTTACTGTAACACACAGCACTGAGATGACTTTATGGTAAAACCAAAAATAAGTTTGTTACTAAAGAACAGATTTAAGTGATAGTAAGCAGAGACAATAGAAACTGAAAATGGGTACAGATAAACCATAAATAAAATACACTTTCTGGTGTCTAAAATTTAACAGATTACAAGCCTGGTATGGGGCAATTTCTCACTCACAGTCAGTTCTCAGTGTCCATAATCCACATGGCTACAAAATACACCTTTCACAGATTCCAGAAGTGCTGGCCCTTTTGTCCCTTAAGTGATGTCTTTTTCCTCTTCCTTATAACTCAGAAAATCTTTGAAACGTATTTTTTTGAAAAGTAACCCCATACAAAGTTCTTCCCTGCTGCTTGTTCCGCAGTGTAGAGCATGTCCCTTTTTTGTCCTCTTGTTAATTAGCTCTTTCTGGTGGGTTGATTACTTTGTTTACCTTAGATGCAAATATACTTTCATTGTCTCTAGCTTACAAAGTTAGACTCAGGCAGATGGGCAAATCCATATTCCTTTGTATAAGACAAGCCTGTTTTTCCACTCTACTCAGATTGTTTGGTCTGAACATATTTTAGGCCAGATCTACACTACAACCTAAATCGGTATAAATGCGTCACTCAAGGCTGTGAAAAATCCACACCCCTGAGCGACACAGTTATACTAACCAAACACCCACACACCCCCATGTAGACAGCGCTGCGTCGACGGGAGAGCTTCAGTGTTCAAGGGGTTTCTATTTTTTAAATTGAAAAAGACTTTGCTCTTGAATGGAACACAAGAAAAGGTGTTTGATAGTTTTATACTATCCTAGTCTGGCCACGAAGATCTTCTGCTGCTGCCACTGTCCTTTTCAATTAGTGAGGTAACAGGCCATATCCTCAGCTGGTGGAAATTGGCGTAGCTCCACTGAAATTATTGCACTTGAGCAAAGCAATCATTTTCAGGAGGCTGCCAATAATGCTGGTATAAAACCTCAAAATTCAAAACTCAGTGACACCAGTTTGGGGAAATAGTTCTTAAAAATTAAATAGTTATGAACTTGTTTAAAAAGCCCCTTCCCCTGCATGATTTCCCTCAATGCCCATCTTAATGTTTCTTTTTTTTTTTCCAGACGTTTACAGGTAATTTTGTCTACTGTGTTCAATCAGTGCTCCCAGAAAACATAGTAAAAACAATACTGGAGAAAATAGGTTACATTGCAACAACAGCAACAGAGTATTCACTTGTCAGAAAGATAAATGAGGAGGAAACAAAAGAGACTGCATTTGAAATATTTCTTGCAAGAATCGAGTGTGAAACCATCCTTGAAATGATAAACGAAGTACAACACAGTGATTTGGGGGATATCCTACAGAAGAGAGCACAAAAGCATTGGTATCATGAAGAGAACAAGGACAGAGAGAGTCAACCCTTCCAGAGAGAGGACCCTGAAAATCTGGAAAACAAAGAAAATAATGAGATTTCTTCATGCCTTGGTGCTCAACAGAAGTCCTCAACAAAGAGTGAGAAATCCTTTGAAACTGCTGGAAATAGTAAGATCAAAGATGAATCCCATTTTAAACCTCCTGCTGATGTGCCTCAGTTAGCATCTACTCAATCCACTAGCAGGCTTCAAGTACACCAGAGGCAAGTGAGCGAGTCAGCACACTCTCATGGCAAATGCTCAGATAGCGAAGACTTCTTGAACAAATACAGTGACATCGTCATAGGACAAAAGCCTATCTTCAGTGAGACTTCTTCTCAGAAAGTGTTTGAAGAGAAGCTAAGAGGCGATCAGAGTGAAGAATGTGTTTTGGTGATCTCAACACCGTTGACAGCAAACGAAGCTGGCCCCAAACAACTCTCACCAGGTGCAAGTGGCCCACAAGCCTTTGCAATATTTACTGACGCTATTCCTGAAAGCAGAAATGCCCTTGATAAATACAGAGCCCAAGAGGTCCCTGAAGAAACCATCGAAGCAAAAATCAGTGATGCCATGAATTGCATAGGCACCTCCACAAATCCTGCAGATCAACCCCAGGAGTTGAAGCCCCTGTCTCATGGCAATACAGGTGTTACAGAATGTAATTTAACCAGAGAAGACAAAGTTTGTGAAATGTCTTTATCTTTTAGCAAACTAAAAATCCAGGAAGCCAGTGATGAAGAGCTTATGTATCCAGTAGAGGAAACTGCACAACCTGAGTGTATAACGAATGTAAATACAAGTGATAAAGACATCAGAGAATGGAATCACTCCAAGATGAAATATATATATCCAGCTAGGATTCAGACAACAAATAAAGCACCTTTCAGTGTTGGTCAGTCTTCCTCAAACCTACTTGGTAATGCCACTGGGGGCCCCGAGTGTCCTACCACTGGCTCGGATAACAAGAGACTATTAACGGATACGCCTGGTACACATGCAACTTCAGAGGGTTTCAGACACATCAGAGAGCCACCTAATCTCACTTACATCCCTCCCAGAAGTATTTATGTTCCACCTTCAGGCCCTAGCGCCACCACTGTGAATTGTAGGAAGAGTCACTTACAGCCTGAAGGAGGCTCGCTTGAGTCCTCTTCATCTACAGAAGTGAATGAAACTAACCAAGAGGACTATGTAATTATCAGCAAGGATGGTGAATAAGGAATGCCAGGCCCATATGATTCTGAAAATGCCCTTCACCGTTGGTCTACAACATACATGTATTTCCAGGCTGGTCTTGGTCCACTCTTGAGCAAAGATTCGTCATACCAAAGCACGTGCTGCTTTTGGGTAGTGAAGAAAGGGTCCATTAGTCTGCTCTAACTATTTGTCTTCAGTGATCACACTGATACTCAGGTGCTCAGACCTGAATGGTCACCTGTCTTTAGTTTGTGTGTATTAAAAATGAGGATAAATTCACAAATGTATTTGATATGATGTATAAGTTAGACACCAGGGCCTGCTGTATTTGGCTTCTGACAGGTTTTTCAAATACATATACTGCCACTTTTTCTCTCTCTCTAACAAGTTATTCTTGCAGCAAGGCAGCAAATTTACCTCAAAGAATGAAATAAAGTCTAAAACGTTGTGCAATGGGAAAAATAGATAAATGATTCCAAATGAAGGTTCACTGTTTATAGCCTCTCCCATGCCTCATTAAAGTTAAATTTGAAGCTCATCTCCAGTTGCTCATAACATTTCAGTGAAGTTAACTTTTGAGCTAGTATTCTTTTTGCTTGTTCTCAGTCCTAAGATTGATTTAGAAAGTTTGGTAAAATTCTGTTTGGACGTTCGGAAAAAAACACTCTGCTAAGACATTTTCAGATGTATTTTTGCGTTAGAATAATCCTGTGGGTCTTCTAAATATACTTGATTCTGTACAATTATAGGTTTTGATACTTCCCTCTGTTTGCTACCACCAAATAATATAAAAAAAAAAAAATGTTTTGTCTTAGGCCCCAGTTCTGAAATTTGACTCTCTCAAACAAACCCTTATGACTGTACAAAATCCTGTTGAACTCAATGGTGCTTAGTGCAGGAAAAGGGATGGCTGGCTTGGGGCCTTAATGAGGACTAGTGTCTTTAACCAATATGACAAAAATTGTTTATTAATGAAGTTATAACCTTTTGAAAACTACATGCTTTTCTTGCACTATACATTGTTTTCTACTAACTTTTTAGCAATATAATGAAGTTCCATACTCCAGACATACTCTCATGTACATATACACCAAGATTTTCAAAAATACATGCTAAAGTTAGAACCAAAGGTAAGCTCCTAAATAAGTAGCCTGAGTGCTGACCAGCAACTGACTTCAATGGGAGTTGGTTTTGGTCACTTATTCGGGAGCCCTCTGTTGTCAAACTTAAGCATTTAAAAATCATGATTCAGGCCCAAACAAATAATGGAATTTTTGTGTGTATATATTTCAGTTTCTTGTCTTGTCTTCTGGGTTTTGATTCTTTAGGGTTCACATTTTCAATTTTTTCTCCATGAGGGCTAGAAACACACTTTAACACCCCCCCTCCCCAAAGGACAAGACAGAAAGTTGAGATTCTTACTTAACCACATGACTTCAGGGGCTGCGGATTTAAGAAAAACACCAACTATTGGGAATATTGCAACAAAATAACAAGAATTGGCAACTCTGTGAGACTAACTTTAAGTTCCTTATATGGAAAATCTTGGCTATTAAGTGTAAATACAAACATGTGCCTGAAGCAGTATGCAAATATTACATTTATTTGAATTGTTGTTCATTTAGATACACATGCTCTTATCTGATATTGCATGTTAACAGTACATTTGACTGCTGAAAGTATCTTTTTTTCCAAAATAGTGCTTAGTATAAAGCAGAATAAAAAAAGTGTATTCTAATGCTAAGCTCAATATATTTTTCAGAAATCTTAAGCAATCTCCTTCTTAGTAAAAGGTATTATAACTTAGATATTTCCAATACCAATTCTTTCCTAGAGTTGCTTATTTGTATATAGAGAAATATTTGCTGATCATTTCTTCAAGTTCTTTATAATGTCACCATCTGGACTGTAAAACGGTAGTTCTGTGCCAAGAGAAAAAGAAAAACAGGATTCTTATGGGGTGAAAGAAAGAGTGGGGCTATCAGGAAAGCTGAAGAACTCACACAGGGAAAGCTCTGTACTTTGAAAAAGTCACTGGAGAATCCCTGCAATGAAGCTCTTAGAAGTCTTAACAGTAGCGGGTGTAAAACCCTGACTCCATTGAAGTCAATGGCAGGATTGCACCTAAGGTTTGAGGGAAGTTTACGTTACACACACGAGCAGATATTCCTGTGTGCATATATGTCTTCCAAGTCCACATTCATGTTCTTGCTAAACTTTGTTTCGTTTATTGTGTTTTTACAAGATGCAATTTCCCCCCCCCATTGGGGATTATTAAAGTTCCTCTTCTGTTTTAAGCTTTGTGTCTAGCAAAAGTTATTAGGGGAGCTCTGACTGGGAAGTTGCAAAAGCCATCCCCACCACACATGAGAATATGTACTGTAGACACATAGGGTACATCTCTACGGCAGCTGGGAGCAGGCTTCAGCCTGGATAGACAGTCTCGCGCTAGCAGGGCTTGAGTGGCCATGTGGACATTGTGGCATGGCCTGGAGCTTGGGCTCTTAAGCTTCGGGGGTTGCAACATCCACAAAGATCTTTTTAGCATGCTACTTTGGGCCCTGCTAGCAGAAGTCTGTCTACCTGAGCTGGGAGGCTTGGTCTTAGGTGTGGTGTAGAGATACCTAGAGAGGTGTAGAGATAACGCTGCTGGGAGAGAGGGTCTGAGTGGGCCAGGTTGGCTGAGGGAGATGACTGTGATAAAGACAATACTAAAAGGACAGTTACCTGTTCTGTAACTGGCGTTCGAGATGTGTTGCTCAGGTGTATTCCACTATAGGTGTGCGTGCTCGCCACATGCACCGGTGCTGGAAGTTTTTCCCTTAGCAGTATCAGTAGAGGGGGAGCACCGCTGCGACCCCGGAGTGGTACCGACATATCGCGCCATAAAGGGGGCTGCGTGCTCCCCCCACCCTCAGTTCCTTCTTGCCAGACAACTCCGACAGAGGGGAAGGAGGGCGGGACGTGAAATACACCTGAGCAACACATCTCGAAGAACGCCAGTTACGGAACAGGTAACTGTCCTTTCTTCTTTGAGTGACTGCTCATGTGTATTCCACTATAGGTGACTCCAAGCTATCCCTGATGGAGGTGGGTAGGAGTTTAAAGGAAAAGATTTATGGGTTACCCGGGCGGAGCACCGCCCTACCAAACCCGGCGTCATCCCTTGTTTGGGAGACGATCGCATAGTGCGATGAAAAAGTGTGGACAAAGGACCACGTAGCAGCCCTACAGATGTCCTGAATAGGGGCATGAGCCACATAGGCCGCAGACGAGGCCTGGGCTCTCATCAAATGCGCCTTCACTATAGGAGGCGGGGGAACCCCTGCCAGGTCGTAACAGGTGCAAATGCACGAGGTGATCCAGCGGGAGATCCGCTGGGTGGACACCGGGCGTCCCCTCATGCGCTCGGCCGAAGCAATAAAAAGCTGGGGGGGACTTCCTAAATGACCTGGTTCTGTCCAGGTAAAAGGCCAGCACTCTGCGCACGTCTAACATTCCTCATTGGAGGAATGGGGCTTAGGACAGAGGACCGAAAGGAAAATATACTGATCCATGTGGAAAGCCGAGACTACCTTCGGCAAAAAGGAGGGGTGAGGGCGGAGCTGAACCTTGTCCTTATGAAAGACCGTATACGGCGGTTCAGAAATCAGGGCCCTGAGCTCGGAGACCCGGTGGGCTGAGGTGATAGCCACTAAGAACGCCACCTTCCACGACAGGTGGGACCACGAACAAGTGGCTAAGGGCTCGAAAGGGGCCCTGTGAGGTGGGAAAGTACTAGGTTCAGGTCCCAGAGCGGGACCGGGTGTCTGGCGTAAGGGAATGCCCGATCTAACCCTTTCAGAAACCAGGCCGTCATGTGATGCGAGAATATAAACAGGCCCTGCACCGGGGGATGGAAAGCCGAAATGGCCGCCAGGTGCACTCTGATGTAGGCAGGCGCCAGTCCTTAGGTCCGAAGGGACAGGAGGTAATCAAGGACAAGCTGGATAGACGCGGAGGAGGGAGAGAAACCTCTATCCCTCGCCCACATAGAGAACCTATACCACTTAGCCAGGTAGGTTCGACGAGTGGAGGGTTTCCTACTCTCCAGCAGGACCCTTCTCACATCCTCAGAACACCTCCCCTCCTCCTCATTTAACCACGAAGCAGCCACGCTATCAGGTGGAGCGCGGCTAGGTTGGGATGGAGGAGATGACCTTCCTCCTAGGAGAGAAGGTCCGGGCGTAGCGGCAGCCTGCAAGGAGGGGCTGCTAAGAGTTGCAGCAGGGACCCGTACCAATGCTGACGGGCCCAATCCGGGGCTATGAGGATAATCCTCACCCCGTCTGACTTCACATTCTGTAGGACCCTGCCTATTAAGGGGAAGGGCGGGAAGGCGTACAACAGGGGCCCCGACCATGGGAGCAGGAACACATCCGATAGCGCCCTGTCGCCCTCTCCCGCTCTGGAGCAGAATCGAGGACACTGACAATTCTGGGTGGTGGCGAACAGGTCTACCTAGGGAGCACCCCACTGTAGGAAGATCCACCTGGCCACCTCCTTGTGCAGGGACCATTCGTGCTCTTGGAAGAATACCCTGCTCAGGCGGTCCACGAGCATGTTGCTCTTGCCAGGCAGGTAAAAGGCCCGGAGGAGTATATTGTGGGCTATACAGAACTCCCACAGGAGTTGGGCTTCCTGGCATAAGGCCCGGGAACGCGAGCCCCCGTTTGTTGACGTAATACATGGCGGTCATGTTGTCCATGAGGACTCTGACCACCTTCCCTTGTATATGCTGGCGAAATGCCACGCACGCCAGGCGTACGGCACTGAGCTCCCTGACGTTTTATGTGCAGGGTTAGTTCCTCTGGTGACCACATGCCCTGGGTCCTGAAATCCCCCACGTGGGCTCCCCAGCCCAGGTCTGAGGCATCCGACACTAGATGTAGTGAGGGAGGGGGCTCTCGGAAAGGAATACCCTGAAGCATGTTGCTCGGGAGGGACCACCATTGGAGGTCTGCCACCACCTTGGGCGGCATCGTGACCACCTTGTCCAGGCCATCCCTGGCCTGGGAATACCAGGAGGCCAGCCAGAGCTGAAGGGGCCGCATCCGAAGCCTGGCATGTCGCACCACATAGGTGCACGCTGCCATGTGACCTAGGATTTGAAGGCACACCCGTGCTGTGGTTACCGGAAAGGCCGTGACCGAGGCGATGAGAGCTTTGAGCGTCTCGAATCTGTCCCGTGGGAGGGAGGCCATGGCCACCTGGGAATCTAACAGCGCCCCTATAAAGCTTATGCACTGAACCGGAATTAACGTGGATTTCTCCTCGTTTACCAGTAGGCCTAGAGCCGCGCAGGTGTCTAGCAGGAAGCTCATCTGCTGCTGCACCAGAGAGCGATACCGGCCCTTGAGCAGCCAGTCGTCGAGGTAGGAGAAGATCTGCAGTCCATTCCTCCTGAGGTGGGGCGCCACCACCGCCATACACTTTGTAAATACTCTGGGGAGGACTGTAAACTGGAAGTGGTCCTGACCCACCAGGAAACGGAGGAAGCGCCTGTGACCCTCGAAAATATGGATGTGAATGTACGCATCCTGGAGGTCCAGCGCCGTAAACCAATCCCCCTGGTCTAGGGATGGAATAATAAAGGCCAGGGACACCATGCGGAATTTGC